TTAGGGTTTAGGCTTTAGTGTTTAGTGCTTAGGGCTTAGGGTTGAGGGTTTTAGGACTTAGGGTTTACGGTTTGGGGTTCAGGGTGGAGCGTCGATCAGGTGGACACCCTTTCATCCATACGGCGAGCAACGGCCAGGATTGGTAGGGAGTGTGCCATCTGTTTCGGCAGCAGTCCGCGATGCTGCACGTGTGATGACAACAATCCGCCATGAATGGGCCAACTACCCTAAACCCTAAACCCTAAACCCTAAACCCTAAATTCTAAACCCTAAACCCTAAATTCTAAACCCTAAACCCTAAGCCCTAAACCAAAACGGAACCAAAGTCTCGTCTCGGGCCGGGCTGTTGGCATGGGCGGCGAGATGCCCTCCGTGGCCGGAATGAGCTGATGCTCTGTCGCCGACAGCTTGCTTGGAGGATCATGGGACTTGGTAAGCAGGGTTATAATTAGGGTAACTATACGTATACCCTTGGGGGACTTATAACCTTACTTACCAAGTCCCATGATCCTCCAAGTGTGGCCTTATTTTTGAATGCACCGCAGGTCGCCGAAACGCCCCGAGGGTTCGTTGAAGTGCACCTGGCTTCACAGCCAGTTGCGCTTGCAGAAGCTATTGCTTCCGAGCACTGGTGCCCATGCAGGGTTTAAGGTTTAGGGTGTAGGGTTTAGGGTTCAGGGTTTAGGGTTTAGGGTTTAGGGTTTAGGGTTTAGGGTTTGGGGCTTAGGGTTTAGGGTTTAGGGCTCAGGGTTTAAACATTACAACTTTCAGACCTCAGGGGTTTTGGGCTTGAGGGTGCAGTGCTGCCTGATTTGGGGCTTTAGGGTTTTGGCAGCTGGGGTCCAGGGCTTCGGTTCTTGATGGTTCATTAGGGCTTAGGGCTCAGGGCTTAGGGTTTATGGTTTAAGGTTTAAGGTTTAGGGCTTAGGGTTTAGGGCTTAGGGTTTATGGTTCAGGGTTTGAGGTTCGGGCTTAGGGTTTAGGGTTTAGGGTCTAGTGCTTATGGCGTTCGGCGTGGGCGTTGGGGTCTGGTCAGTTCAGGGTCTGCCAGCAATTCTCATGGGAATCGTCCGCCTGGGCCCGGGAAAAGCATACTGCCACGGTTTAGGGTTTAGGGTTTAGGATTTAGGGTAGCGGTTCATCGCAGCATTGGCCATCACGTCATGGCAGAAGCAACCATAGCCAAATCCGGGTTCAGGTTTAGTAGTACAAGTACTGGTACTCGTCGTAGTAATAGTGCTACTAGCTCTAGTAGTTACTCGTCGTATGAGGTAATACTTGCAGTCGTAGATGCACAAGCAGTAGCAGTAGCAGTACTAGTAGCAGTAGTACTAGTGGTAGTAGTAGTCGTGGTAGTAG